CTGCTACTACTACTACTACGACGAGTAGCAGCAGCAGCAGTAGCAGTAGTGATAGTGGTAGTGGTACTGGCAGTCGTAGTAGCTGTAGCGGGGTAGTACTAGTACTAGTAGCAGTAGTAGTAGTGGTAGTAGTGGTAGTAGTAGTAGTAGTAGTAGTAGTAGTAGGAGTAGGAGTAGTAGTAGCAGCGGGGCATTGGAGGAGCAGGATTAAGTATACGGGTACTGTAAGAGGCAGAAGCTGGAGGACAAGCGATGTAGGTGCAGATGCACATCGTGAACGAAACAGGTGAACGAAGTGGCAGGCACTCGCGGCAGCAGACACTGCAAGCAGCCGCTCGTGATAGGTGTGAGGATGCTGAGGCTCTCTGGGGCCTGATGCCTGAGGAATTCCGTTCCGGCGATGTTGAGGCCACCGTGAATCGAGTTGTGACTTTGCTCGGCCACGGCTGCTCTTCTGGAGGCGGGCGGCCATCAAACACGCTTGAGCCCCAGGTGGCAGATTCAGGACCTGAACTCGCAGAGTTGTGTGCTTGCGGGTCTGGCGGCTAAGACGGTGGAAGTTGTGTTTCTCAGTCTGAGTTCTTTGGAAAACACGGAAAAAAGGCAACATGTGCAGTTCGTCAGTATGCAATAACTGCAATACAAATCAAGTTCGTGTCATCCCCTGGAATTCCACTGTGAGGCTGTGCACACGGGAAAGGGTCCTAAAGTAGAGTGTTGATTGTGTTGTTCCTCGCTTTTTCTCTCTCGCTCTTCCTGCAAATGGAGCGCACATCGTCGACACACCAGAACTTCGTAAAAAAAGGCCAGGCGGGTTAATGCATCGCGTGTGATCTGCAGGATTCATGGTTTGACAACACCAGCCACAAGCAAAACTCGCCAAGTGCTAGCACATGATGGGCCTGAAGGGTTTGGAGTTCAGGGGTCAACCCCGACCGCCGCAATCAGACAGCAGGGTAAGCTTCAGCATGCAGCCAAGCTCACCAAATCTTCAAATAATTCTCAGACATCGGGGTGTTCTATTTCATGCTAACCACTTAGGAAGCTACGTCATGCTAGTTTAGAACAGCCTCGCATGGTTCAGGGCAGGCTTCGCAGCCAACACCCTGGCTGCTCGCCCTCGTCGACCGGGAACTGCGTTGTAGAAGTCATAAACTCAACAAGCCCTTCATCCAAGCCCGTAAGCCCTAACCTAAACCCTAACCTTCAACAGGGTTTGAGGGACGAGCATAGCTTTCTGCTCAATGGCCCTCTCTCGTGTTTGAACGTCGTATCATCAATGCAAATGTTACCCACGTGAGCCGCAAGTCTGTCTGATTACGTGATGGATGGTACCGTAGGACAGCAGCCCTTCTAGGCACATGATATCCAGATAAAACAGCGACGGTCGCTGTGCTCGACGGCTTACATACGAAACTGAATCCTCGTCACCAGCTTGCTTCTGTCCTCCGGGAGGATGGCCATTGGAGCACATGCATGAAAAAATCTGGGCCCTCGTGGAGCAGCATAAGCCTTCAGATTTGAGGTTCGTGTTCTCACGCTGATCATGGGAATTTCAGCAGTTGGACGAATCATGGTCCTGTGGTTGTAGGTTTGGAATGGTGTGCATTGCATAGAGCTCAGGCAGCATGGCAGAAGGTGCCGGTGCCTGTGAACTCTGTGCAAGGATTGAAGGATGTGACTTGCCTGTCGCGGCACTGCCTCTTTGGGCCCACAAACAAGGTCGTGTGAAGCACGCCTGTCGGTGTACGACTATAATGCACGATGCTACAACGGGCTCTATGGAAAATTGAATGCTTCTTTCTTCCGAAAACTTAATTTCAGCGAACTAGTGTAATGTCACTAATTACCAGAATTCCAAGATGTGTCTAGCTGAGTCGCGCTCATGCAGTGGCTGCAGAAGCCTTGCACTCATCAAGCCTTGGCGCACAGTGTCACACACACACACACACAATCGTTCTTGCCGGCCAGGGTTGACAACAAGGCAGTGTCTATCTGCAACCAGCTTTGCAACAAAGGCCCGTGCGGCGACTTCCGCTGTGCCCAGGCCTGTTGCAGCGTTTGGTCAGCCGAATATGATTTTCCCAATGGTTTCAGCTACCCTCCCCTGCTCGGCGGGTCGTGGAACTTAGCAGGAGGGCTGTATAAGTACCACTTACCACGATTTGGGTTTTAGTGCGTATATGCATGACTAAGCTGGTCAGTTACGAAGCGGCCATCGGCTAGGCTGGGGTGCAAACAACAACTCTCCGCCTGGTATGCGTGTAGGCGCATCGTTGGGGGTTGCGGGCATTGAGCTGTAAACCCTGTACCCTAATGGTTGGGGTTTGGGATGGTTCGGAAGTACTGAAGTTGCATACATACACATGGATACATACATATTCATACATGCATACATACATACCTACATACATACATACATACATACATACATACATACATACATACATACATATACATACATACATACATAAGTATGTNNNCATACATACACACACACATATGCACACGCAACTGTCTCTACATGTGCACCTGCATGTGTATGTGCATATTTTGTACAAGCACATGAATATGTATGCACAAGAATATACGTAAGAGTGTGGAACTATGTGAAGCTCAATGTACTCGTATTTTTTGCAGAACTCGTAATACTGCCCGCCGAAAACTCATGGCCAGCGCACGCAATAATGACACCATGCGAAGTAAGTTCGAAATCTTATGTGGCTCCGGTGAACCCTCAACCCGAAATCTCAACCCTAATGTGTTACAAATGTAATCCTCCCCCGAGCACTACCCGTGGAAGTGCGGCCTCATGCTCGAGGTAGAGCGGATGAGACCGGTTGACCCCTGTCAGCAGCAGCTCGTAACATGTCCGCGTGTTCGTACCTCGACGGCAGGATCCCAAACCCTTCATTTGAAGTAATATAGGGGCCTCAATTAATAATGGCCTTTTCTATTTTGGGGGGTCCTTACTATAACTTTAATAGAACATACCCCAAAACCCTACGGTCATTTTAAGGCGCCTACATGATTAGGGTTTAGGATGGTTTGGGCTTGGGGTAAATATTGGGTTTAGGGTATGCGCAGGCTGAGGTGCACCTGAGCCCCAGGGTCTCGGTTGTCGGGGCTTTACTCTACAAGCCATGACAGCCTTAAACTAGAGGGATTTTTGTGCATACTCAGCTGTCACTTTCGTCTTTTGAAGGGCCGAAGGGTGAGCCGGCGCGTAGTGCGCATTAAATCCCGCACGAGCTACTAGTGAAGGCCACCGCAGCTAACCCTCGAGGCTCCAACACCCCCCCCCCCACCCCACCCTTTTCCCTAACCATTGAAGCTTCAGACCGTTAGATGGGATCCACTCAGGCCCCGTGACTGTGGTGAATTCGCTTGTGCCAGCGCTGCCGGGTTACCTGTCCGCAAGTGCAGAATAAGGATAGCACAGCATGCCTCGGGCAGCTATCTGTTGTTGTTTTATCCTTCTGTCTGTCTGTCTGTCTCGCTCTCTCTCTCTCTCTCTCTTTCTCGCTCTTTTTCTCTCATTCTCTCTTGGACTGTCACACATACATACATACATACATACATACATACATACATACATACGTACGTACATACATACATACATACATACATACATACATACATACATACATGCATACAGACTACACAGAGACACACACACACACACACGAAAAGAGGCAGGGGGACTTTGCCGTAGGCTGCTGGCTTAGCTTGCACCCACGTCCACACCATGACCATCAATCAACACTGGGCCGTCCATTGCCAATTGCAGCCAGATGCTGCAGCAGTAGCTTCTCCCGACATGATTGAAAACCAATCGAAAAAGTCCCCAACATGGACCTGAAATAACGACCAAGACTATTTTTGGGGTTCCTTGTTGTAATTATAGTCTTCTGAGTATTGAGGCCCCTATAGTAACCTGGACGTGTTGAAAGTCGTGAAACCCGGAACGGTGGTAGGACCCGAGCCTAAACCTTAAGCTGAATCTGCAACGGGGACGACACGAAGCTTTTCGAGAAGCTGTCGAAAAAGTAGGCTTCCTTCCGCAATCACGGACTGAAACCAGTAGAACAAACAAAGGAAACCGCACTACCATAGATCTAGAGGTTTAGAGCTTATAAGTTTC